TTTCATCGGTGCTGTACTGTACCCTGACTGGCTTGTCTCCTCTCCGCAGCCCCTATGTAAGGGGCGGGGATGTCCAGTTTCCTACAGACGGGTTTTGGGTCTCCACTCTGTACTCCCCCTCATTCACAATGATACGATTTTTTGTTCTTTGATGCCTGATACCTGATGATCCTATCGACACCTGGTGATCATACAGGCTGGTATACTTCTTCCATGTGGGTTTTGTTGCTTCTCAACTAGATGGCCGCTTGTTTATATTCAAGCCTTTAAGACCCCAGACACTGTATCTTTTGATAGCTGGGCACCATCAGCTTTCTTCACCACATTTGCTTATGCACCCGCCTTGTCTTCGGCTATTGTGTCGGGAAGGTGAGTATAATGGAATGCCAATTTAATAGAACAAAGTGTTCTTGCATTGAGTGGAGGCCCAATGTCCATCTGCTACCTTAATACTAGACCTATAAATATATGCACATAGAGCTATTTCCCCATCATCATATGTAGATATATTTACATATGTACATGCCTTTAGTTAGACCTCTATAAATGCCCTTTGCCTCCTAGTTCTCTCCTCTATTTCCTTTTACTTTCCTCTTGTCCCACTATTATGCTCAGCCTTCATTTGGGTTTCAGTAATTCCTCTAGGTTACATTGCCGTTGATCAAGCCCTACCAGGCCTCTTACACCCTCCTCGCCACTGATTTTGGATCACTTGTTGTTCCCTTGTCCCTGGGTGTGTTAACACCAATTCCTTTCCCCCCACCTCCCCCTCTCCCATGTCCTCCCTAAACTGTCGGTCCCATTGTTTTCTCCTCCAGATTGTTTATCCAGCTTATCTTATCTAGATAGACCTGCAGACATAATAATATGCACAAAAACAAGACAGAGCAAGCCAAAGCAACAAAACAAAACAACAAAAAAACAATGACACAAAAAAAGAAAAGCCTGTATATATAGTTCAAGGTCTGTTTGTTGACCTTTAGGAGTGTTTTCTGGTCGAGTCTGATGGAGTGCCATGCCCTGTCCCCAAAGTCTATTTTTGGAACTCCCTCAGGACTTCCATTCTCTGCTCCCTTTGCTGTTCTGTTGCACGCCCTTACTGTTTTCTTCAGTGTGGTGGGGTCAGATCAGGGGCAGTTTCTGCACTGTGTCTCCAGTGTTGTTCCCTGTAGAGCTGTGGGTCAGTGAGAGGTGCATGTCTCATAGTGGGGCCGGCCAGGTGGTCCTCTCTGTGCGCTCTCTTTCTCCCCCTTCATTTGATCCTGTGGACTCTGATCAGATACGTCCCTCGCCCTGAGCTGCAGCTTCAGTGTTGTCCTCTGAAGTAAATTCTGGAGAAGGGGTGGCTGTCCACGTAGTTGGGATCAGGACCAGCCCCTCAGACATCTTGGAGCACCGAGTTGAAGTCTGGTCCCGCTTTCCCTGTTAAGTTAGTTTTATGAAAGTCAAGAAAATGAGGAGTTATATCAGATGAATTAAAAGAATACGAGTTTTGTTTTCCTACCTATGTCATACTTACACAATGAAAGAGGTAAAGAAGTATGTATCCATACCCAAAGAGTATTTTATAAAACATTTTTTCCCTCAACTAAAAGTACACCATTGCACTCCCTTAGTGGTCAAGTGTTACTTTCTCTGAAGGAAGCATATTCCTTCTTGCCTTCAGCACAGTTTCCCCTGATACTGGGTGGCGCTGGTTTGCTGGGGTGCTCCAACGGCTTGCTTCTGCAGAGAATGAAAGGATTCGATTAACTTTAGTAGGCCCAGCAAGACAGAAAAACTAATTGAAAAAGAAAGAATTACATATTTGACTTATAAAATTAGTCTTAAGTTAATCAAAATATATCCCTCAAGAAAATGAAGAGATAACAATGGTTAAAACGCATATAATTGACAAAAGACTAGCTTCCAGATAATATTTCAAAAAAAAATGATTAAAGCTCTTACAAGTCAATTAGGAAAAGTGGGCAGAAGTAAAGAAAATCAATGAAACCAAATGATAGGTTTTTGATAAGAACAATAAAATTGGTAAACCAAACTAATCGGGGGAAAAAAAGGAAGATATAAATGATCGGTTTCATGAATGATAGTGTCATTATTAGATTCTATTAATATTTCTAAAAATAAGAGAATACTGGGAATTTTATGTCAATAAATTCTACAACTTAGATCAGATGAACAAATTCTTTTAAAGATACAAACTACCAGAGCTCACTCAAGAAGACAGGGATGACCTGATCAGCTCTGACTACCGAACAAATTGAAATTGGTGTTTAAAACATTCCCATGTAGAATACTGTAGGCCCAGATATTTTCACTAGTGAATCTGACCAAATATTTAAGGAAGAATACCACCAGTTCTATACACAGTTTCCAGAAAATTAATTTTCAACTTATTTGATGGGCCCACCATGGAACAAGAAAATCACCCTCGTGAGTCTATGCATGAAAAAATTGAACAGAACTTTAGCAAATGCTGTCTAGTAATATGTGAAAAGCTTAATACATCATAACCGAGTGGGGTTGACCTGAGGAATGCAGGGTTGGTTTAGCAGTCAAAAATCGATTTAACTCACCATATTAATAGACCGGACAAAGAAGAACCATCCGATCATCTCAAGATGCAGAAAAAGCGTTTGGGTGACGGCAGGAATCTAACATTCATTCTTGATTAAAAAGCAAGCAAGGCATTAAAAGGAACTTTTTCAACTTGATAAAGGGCAACTTGTAACTAGCACCATACTTAGAGATGAAACAAGTGCTTCCCCTCTGAGATAAAGAACAAGACAGAGATGGCCGGGAGCATGGGGGAAGTTGGAGCTAACCACGTGTATGAGAAGAAAATGTTCTGGAATTGATTGTAGTGGTGATTGTACAAATCTTCTTAATATGATTGAATGATTAAATTGTATGCTATGTGAATTAAATGCCAATGAAGCTGTTTTTTTAAGAAAGAAAGGGAGAAAAAGAAGGAGACAAAGGTGGTCCTTGTTTACCACACTGATGCACATCCCCCGGAGCTTCTGGTCAGTGCACTTAGGCAAGAAAGGGAGACATGGGAGATGTGCAAATGAGAGAAGAAGCCAACTCTTTGTTCATTTTCACATGACATCGATTGGTGTGTTCAGACAAGCTATCAAGCAATTATTGGAACAGAATGAAATCATGCAAAGGATTCATAAAAATAACCTCCTGAATATCTTTTCTCAAGAACTTATTTGCAAGTGTGTTTTTGCAGAACGAGTAAACCAAGAAAGGGGGAAACTGGGACTGGCTTTCACCTTGAGTCAGCTGCAGTAAACGGCCTGGAGGCCATGCTAGGTCAGAACATGAGGGGGAGCCCAGGAGACGTGGGGAATATATGCCAGAGGGTATGCAGCTGAACCAAATCGAGCCTTTGGTAGAGACAGACGGAGGAAAGGGGAGTTGTAACCCACGGAAGAGGCAGCCATCTGTGTAAAAAAGCCCAGGCACGCATGTTAAGCTTAGACCCATGTGCTGGGGATGTAGGGGAAAAATCACAAACTCATTTCACTCTGCTTTCGGAGAGCTTTTGCTTCGAAAGGCAAATGGGCCAAAGAGAAGAGAACTTTTGGTCATATTCCAAGTACTTCTTACCAGATTTCAGATTATGCGTACGAGAGCGTGAAATAGCAGTGTAGCTGTCAGAAGGTGGGTGTAGAAGTTTACCTAAGGTGGTCTGGACCTGTTTTGCCTTTTAATGTCATACTTGAACTAGGTTGCAAGAAACTGTATTTTAACTTACTTACTTAGTATTAGTACAGAGGAAATTGTGAGCAGTGTGTTCATTCAAAATGAATACAATAAACGTGTCCTTGAGCACAGTATGGAAACCAGAGTGTAGTTTCAGCTGCAAGGTGCCGGTGGCTTGGTGCGGGGAGGGAAGTTCTCCGTGTTGAGCTCAGTGTGTGCAGCTGTACTGTGGAGGGAGAAGTGTCTCTGTCCCTCTGCATGCACTGCTCGAGAGGAGGAGGCCAGAACTAGAGGGGGACACACACAGGAACTGGAAGCATCATAAGATGGTATAAATAAGAAAAGTGTTAAATATACCATGTGAGTATCAGGTAGAGAATACAGTTCTGGTTAGTGCAGAAATTAGCATCTGAGAAGGCTAAGTAACGAAGTAAGAAGTACCTGGTTTTCTACGGTCAGAGGTAAGGAGCAGAGAGAGAGTGGGAGTGGTCAGCACTCTTCTCCTCTGGGAGATGCTGTCCACTGGTCATGGTTGATCTCGACTTTGTTCAGGGCAGTTGAGGTTCATCTTCTGTGGGAGAGAGGGTGTGGCGGCCTGCTGTGTGGTCCCTGTCTGTGCCAGCGTTAACTTTTGCTGTCCTTTTGTCAACAGGCGTAGTGTCTGTCTGTTTTGAGGGAGACAGCGATGGTTACATCAACCTGGTGGCCTATCCATATGTGGAAAGTGAGACCATGGAGCAAGATGACACACCAGAGCGGGAGCAACCTCGGCGCAAACATTCACGCCGGAGCCTGCACCGGTCAGGCAGTGGCAGCGACCACAAAGAGGAGAAAGCCAGTCTGCCCCTCGAGCCCTCTGAGAGGTAAGGGGTGGTGAGCAGGGCTGCATACGTGTGTCCAGTCCTGTGGACACAGCACTGAGGGCATCTCTAGAGCCTGTGAACGTATCATGGGAAGCTCAAGGCTGAGGGAAGATGGCTCTCATGGGGCCACCCCCCCATAGGAGTGGTTAGTTCCTGAGAAGCACTGTGCCCCAGCAATGCCTCATTCTGCTAAGAACTGTAGCAGCTCAAGAAAGAATGAAGCCCTCTCAGCTCACTGTGAGCAGGGATGACCTGTACTGGTGATGCCTCGTTCACAGAGCTGAGCTGCTCCAGCTTTCTGCAGAGGCCGCCACCCACGTGTCCACAGTCACTTTAGAGAGCAGCCCTCTCTGAGACTTTGATACCCACCACGAACCTTCCCTGCACATGCAATTTAGCTTATTGTATTGGAAATTAAGTGTTCTTATAGGCTAGGAATGTAGTCTTACAAAATAATAATTATAAATTATCAAGGGTTCATGAGGGAGGGGGAAAACGAGGAGCTGATACCAAGGGCTCAAGTAGAAAGCAAATGTTTTGAGAATGATGATGGCAACAAATGTACAAATGTGCTTGACACAATGGATGTATGTATGGATTGTGATAAGACTTGTGTGAGCCCCCAATAAAATGATTTAAAAAAATAAAAAAGAAGTCTTTACACAGAACCATGCTTCTTGATATTTCATGTAAAAATGTGACAATTCTAGAATAGCTATAATCAAAACAGTGAACAAAAAATCAAAACAAAGAACAAGTGTTGGCAAGGATGTGGACCCCCTCCCACCCTGCTGAAGGAATGTACAATGGCGCTGTCACATTGTAAAGCTATTGGGCAGTTCCTCCAAGAGTTACACCCAGCAATATACCCAAAATAATTGAAACCATATGAAGGGTACCCTACCCCCCAAACTGGGAAAAAGCTCCACTGGATGGAGCTTTGTAAATGCATTTTTCTGTCTAGGCAAGCATCGAGCAACTCGCTCTGGGTTAGTGCAACCAGTGGCGTTGCCTGGGAAGGTTCCCTCTGGTCACAGTGAATTTTTTGTGTGAAAGCAGTTTTGCTCAGACCTCATTTTTTTCGTGATGGCCAATTTAAGAGAACAGCGTGTAGCTGTGAATTGTGTCCTGCTTGGGAAAAATTCTGCAGAAACTGTTGTGATGTTGAGCACAGCTTAGAAGGACAGCGCAATGGGGAAAACTCAAGTGTACGAGTGATTTTCTTGTTTCAAAAAAGGTGAAATGTCGATGGATGACAAACCTTGTTCTGGGTGTGGTCCTTCAACTCCAAATGCACTACGAGTTGACAAAAATGTCAAAATGTAGTGCAAAAATGACCAAAATGTCAACTCGTAGTGCATTTGGAGTTTGTTCCACCAGGTCAGACTGTTCATCAAGCTTTCTATTTAGAGGTTCTGAAAGATTATGTAAGACTGTGCTTGTGACTAAAAAGACCTGATGTGTGGCACACTGGGGGACTAGCTTTGCTGCAGTGCACCTGCTCATGTAGCCATCTCACTGTGCCAGTTTTTGGCAAAAAATAGGATGCCCCTCTTGCCCCACATACCTTACTCACCTGACCTCACTCCATGTGACTTCTTTTTGTTTCTGCGAATGCAGAGGGACGTGAAAGGACAGTGATTTGACAACCTAGAAGAGGTGAAGAAAAGGCAAGGGAGGTGCTGTCAGCCATCCAAACGGATGAATTTGAAAAAATGTTTCCAAGAATGGAATTGCAGATTTGACAAATGTTTTAAGTATAAGGGAAAATGCTTTGAAGGTGACAAGATTGTTTTATAGAAAAATTTACATACATAGCTTTGGGGGCGGGGGATCCAGGTTTTTTTAGGGGGACCTCCGTATCTCATGCAAAAACATAAATGAACGTCGATAGCATTAATCACAATAGTCAAAAGATGAAACAGCAGATGAATGGTTAAATAAGATGTGATGTATCCACAGTGGAATGTTACTTAAAGAAAAAACAACATTAAAGCAAATGAAGTACTGGTACATGCTGCAACATGAATGAGCATTGAACATCTTGAGTCTATTTAGTCAGTGAATGAATAGACTATGGAAATAAACATCAGCGCCCCCCACCCCCACCCCCCAAGATCAGAACTAGTGGAGGCTCACTACCACTGCTAACTGCTCTGAAAAGGACCCCATTCGACGGGCCTGCATAGAGTGGGAGAGATCTGTGGAACAACATGCCAAATCAGGAAAGACAACAGTCCCACTGGTCAGATCGAAACGGTGGCCCTCAGTCACCCTCTACGTCTGGAAATGAACATGCGCTCTTGTTAGAATAACCATTTAAAATCTAAAGGAGCATTTACTCAAAGACAAAGTTGAGAGATGAGTTAGGAAATGAGGCAGGATGGAAAGTCAGGGAGGAAGTGGAAAAGAGAAGGTATACCGAGAGGATTGCAGTCAGTGAGTGGAAACAAAATGTGTGTGTAAAACTAATGATCGGTCCTGTAACACTCACCTAATTCACACGACGTTGTTTAGAAAAAGAAAGTATTCTGCTCAGTGAAAGGAGCCAGTCACACAAAAACACATTATGTGATTCTCTTTATATAAGTCTCTAGAGCAGCAGTTCCCAACCTGTGTGTCGTGACCCCGTTGGGGGTGTGTGAGTGTGTGTGTGTGTGTGTGTGTGTGTGTGTGTAATGACCCTTGCACAGGGGTCACCCGAATCATAACAGTAGCAAAATTACAGTTATGAAGTAGGAACGAAAATAATTTTATGGTTGGGGGTGTCCCCACAGCATGAGGAACAGTGTGAAAGGGTCACGGCATTAGAAAGATTGAGAATCACTGGTCTAGAGGCACAAAGATGATAAGAGGTTGCCAGCGGCTGAAGAGAGAGAGGATTGGTAAGGGATTCCTTTGCAGGCTGCTGAAAATGGTCTGACATTAGATACATACCACTGAATTGTTCAAAACAAAGCATAACTGAAATCAATGTGAACTTTCTTATGTGGTTATAGAGATAATCATGATGGATTCCATAGCAAATGCATTTAAATACTCTTAAGAACTACCTAGATGGGCTAAAATTCACAGCAGTGATGGGATAAAATTCACAACAGTGTCTCCAAAGATGAGATTGGAACCTGAAAGGGTGCATCTGTGACCTTGTAAGCAAAGCTTTGCTGGAGATAATCAGAGAACAAATGCAGCAGCACATGGACAAGAAATGCCAACAATCTAAGTCATATTTAGAAGAGGTGGTACCGAGGAAAGATGTCATTGCTGATGTCAGATGGATCTTGCCTGAAAACAGAACAGAGAAGACCCAAAAGATTGTGCTTACCTGTGTTTGATTGTGTGAAGGCATTCGGCACACTGGATCACGCTGCAAAGGACGGGAGCTTCGGAAGATTGAATCGTGCTCTTGAGGGGCTTGTACAAGGAGCTGCTCCACAGTTCTTTCCACGCGTATTCAGTGTGCGTGCTGAGCAAGTACTGCAAGAAGCTGGACTCTAAAGGAGCGTAGCATCGGGATTGGAGGGAAGCTTACTAACAGACAGCTTGCAGTATGCAGGTGACACCACCTGGTTTGCTGAAAGCAAAGAAGACTGGAGACACTTCCTGATGACAGTCAAAGAGTACAGCCTTCAGCATTGGTTTACGCGTCTACGTCAAAGGTCTCATACCAAGATCAATGAGCATTATGTAGATAAACAGAAGAAAAACAGCCTTTTCTGTAAAGGATCCACAGTCGGCGCTCATGGAAGCAGCAGCCAGCAGATTAGATGAGATATCACTGGGAAAATCTGCTGCAAATGTGGCCTCTTTAAAGCACGGGAAAGCAAAGAAAACACCTCGAGTCCTAAGATAGGCCTGACCCCAATAATGATATTGTAAGCTGCCTCATCTCATATGTACTGGGAAAGCTGAACAATGAATGAGAAAGACCAGAAGAATTGATACTTTAGGATTGTGGTGTTAGTGAAGAATATTGAATATATCATAGACTGCCAAAGGTGAAGACCATCAGAAGCACAAATCTGTCCTGGAAGAAGTATGGCCAGAGTGCTCCTTACAGGTAAGGATGGTGAGATGTCATCTTACATACTTTGGACATGTTATCAAGAGAGACCAGTCCCTGGAGAAGGACTTAATGCTTGTAAAGTAAAGAGGCAGTGAGAAAGAGGAAGGCTGCCAAGGAGGTGAACTGACACCGTGGCTGCAGCAACGGGCTCAAGCATGGGAACATCGAGGATGACGCAGGGCCAGGCAGTGTTTTGTTCTGTTGTGCTTAGGGTGGCTGTGGGTCGGAACCAACTCGAGATGACACCTAGCCACGACACGAGACTACCAAGAGAACAAACAAACCCGGGAGAGGTATGCCAGAATACGCCTTAGAAAGGAGGGTGCAACGAAGCCCACAGGGAAGAAGCACGCCAGCCTGTGCGATCACGAGGTGTCGAAGGGATCAGGTGTCAGGCATCATCAGAACAAAAAATCTTAACCATAGTGAATGAGGGGGCGAGTGCGGAGTGGAGACCCAAAGCCCATTTGTAGGCCACTGGAGATCCCCTTGCAGAGGGGTCTCGGGGAGGAGACGAGCCAGTCAGGGTGCGATGTAGCAACGATGAAAAATACAACTTTTCCTCTAGTTCCTAAATACTTCCTCCCTCCCCACTATCATGATCCGAATTCGACCTTGCAAGTCTGGCTAGACCAGAGGATGTACACTGGTACAGATAGGCACTGGAAACACAGGGAATCCAGGGAGGATGATCCCTTCATGGACCAGTGGTGTGAGTGGCGATACTGGGAGCGTAGATGGGGGTGGGTTGGACAGGGAAAATCGATTAAAAGGATCTACATGTGACCTCCTCCCTGGGGGACGGACAACAGAAAAGTGGGTGAAGGGAGACGTCGGACAGGGCAAGATATGTCAAAATAATAATGTATAAATTATCAAGGGTTCATGAGGGAGGGGGAGCGGGAGGGAAGGGGGGAAAATGGGGGGGTAGGGGGGGCTTAGGTGGAGAGCAAACGGTTTGAGAATGATGAGGGCAATGAATGTACAAATATGCTTTACACAATTGTATGTATGTATGGATTGTGATAAGAGTTGTATCAGCCCCTAATAACACGATTAAAACACACACACACACACACACACACACACACACACACACACACTCCAAAAAAGAAAGGAGGGTGCTGAGACTCTGTCGTCTCACATACATGTTATCTGGATGGACCAGTCTCTGAAGAAGGACATCGGTCTTGGTAGATGAGAGGGTCAGCAAAAGGAGGAAACCCTTCAATGAGGTGGCTTGACCTATTGGCTCCAATATTGGGGTCAAACACAGCAACAATTGTGAAGGTGGCACAGAGCCAGACTGTCTTTTGTTCTCTTGTACCTCTGGCCACTCTTAGCTGGAGTCCACGCAGTGGTCCCTGACAGTGGCGGCAACAAGCAGTACATGTGGAGACGGTTGAGCGGTGGGTATTTGCCACCATAAAATGAACTATTCTAGTGGATGGGGTCCTTGGTGGTTGGACTTGCTAGTTGACGTTGGGCATTCCCTTTAAGGAGGGAGCACACCATTGTTTCTGACCTCCGCACTCCAGCAGAGCCTGCCTTAATTACCCTCTGCCTCTCACAGCTCTGGGAGGGCCAAGATTGCCAGCCTCTTCCAGACAGACCCACTCTGCTGAGTGTGGTGGGTCCTTTCCACATCCTCAGCCAGGGGTCCTCTCTGGCTAGGCTGCAAAAGCGCTTCCCTGTGCCCGCCTCTGCCCCCATGAGGGGAGATGTTTCCTTGATGGATGACTTTGGGAGTGCTCCCCTGTCCGTCCGTCCGTCAGGCAAGGTTCCCGTCAGCGGCTGTTTTGAGTTTGTTGTCTTTTGTTCTCCAAAGGTACAAAAGCTGCTTCATGATTCATCTAGTAAACAGCCAGGGAGCCCAGAGTAATGTCAAGGCCCGCCTGGGCCCCAGGCTCACCGCTCTGCCTTTCAAGGTGAAGCTCTGCCTGCAGGGACAGGCCGCTGCCCGGCTTGTTAGCAGTGCCTCTCTGTAAGACACTCAAGGGAGTTGCGCTTGGTTCTTCACCAGGCCTGTGACACCAGTGGTGATGCCAGGCGTGACGGGAGCCCCATTGGGTAGAGAGACTGTGGGTCCACTTGGCAAATGTATGAACACATCTTGATGTTTGCCTTTTAACTCCCCCCCCCCCCCTTCATCTTGATGTTTTCTGAAGGGATCATAAATCAAGTGTATGGATGGCCAAAAGAAAATGTCCACTTTGCTGAATTTGTCATGCCGAAAGCCATCGGAGGTCTCTACTTCTTGTTAAAGGGAAATAGGGTCTCTCCCAGTGGCTCTGAGCCAGTGTCACCCAGCCCCCCGAGCCAGCCTACAGGGAAGAGCTCGCACGGTCAGCACACACTAGCCCTCAGACTTAGTCCACAATTAGAGAAGAGGCCAGCAGCACTGGGGGATGAGGTGGCCCTGGCTTTTGCTGTCGGCTCTGCCTCAGCGCTGAGCCCACACCTGCGTTTTCATTTCTAGTGTGCGTGGCCACCACCAGTGTGGGATGGCTTTTCCTTGCTTGGCAGTGTAATATGTAGCATTGCAAGTTACTACAAGCAAAATGCAGTGGTGGAGACAAGCCCCAGTGTTGTCCATGTGAGTCGTCCTCTCCCCTGTGGGTTTCTAAGTGAGATTCCCTCACCAAGTGGCCCCGTGCATTCTCCACAGAGAAGCACAGGAACCTCCAGGGCCTGCTCAGGGCAGACACTGCCCTGCTGTTTTTCTCTGATGTTTTCCAACCTTCCCAGGCCTGATGGCAAAGACAGGTTTCTCCACGTCTAGTGCCAGCATACGCTTTCTTTCTGCCTGGTTATAGGCAGCTGTTCTAGACGTCATGGGGCAAGCTGGGACATTGCCATGTCCTAACAGTCATACCCCTGCTGCACCTGTGCTTGTGTGTGAAATACACCATTTTCACCACGTACTTTGTCAGGAAGAACACTCCTCATCCCGTCACCGCTTCTGGCCTCTGCGCCCCTGTCATTAGTGTCTGGGACAGAGGATAGGCCCATGCAGCCTTCCCTGTCCTGCCTGGTCACGCCCCAGAGGGGAGACCTGTCAGATCCCCTCGGTGACATACATGTTCTTCCTCCTCAGCTCCCAAGAGGCGAAGAGTCCGAAGGTGGAGCTGCACGGCCACTCAGATGTCCCTTTCCAGATGCTGGATGGCAACAGCGGGCTGAGTTCTGAGAAGATCAGCCACAACCCCTGGAGCCTGCGCTGCCACAAGCAGCAGCTGAGCCGCATGCGCTCCGAGTCCAAGGACCGGAAGCTCTACAGTATCCTTGCCCCCTCAGTGCTGCCCTCTGGGCCCGTGGCCAAGGCCCCTCGCTGTGCTGGGCCCTCACATCGTCCTCGTCCTCCCTCGGGTGCCTTTTCCTCAAGGTGTGACCTTTCACCAGCATGCATTTGTCCTCTCTCTCTCCCAGGATTGGTGACACTGAAGCCTACGACCTGGCGGTACACTCAGTGCTGCCCACTAAGAACTCTCTGTGAGGGTGGGACTGGTCGGGTCTGTGCTGGTCACAGTGGGGCCATACCGAGCAACTGAAATGTGACTGCTGTGATGGAAGAACCAAATTTTTCTGAACTAAAGATTCGAATTCAAATCTAAGTAGCGCCATGCAGCCAGTGTACCACAGTGTTGGTGCATGGGATACGGTCTGTGTGTGTGCACGTGGCTTTCTCCCCCACCCAGACTCCACGAGGAAAATACCCACGTCTGGTTGGATGGTGGTTTGTTTTATCTACAGATAAAACACCATGCACGTACAACATAAAAGTACTGTAAGAGACTGCAGGGGAAAGGGGCTCCTGGATTGGGTATTTGGATGTCGTTGGGGGCTTGGAAGTCTCAGACGACACAACGCGGAGCCTCCAAGGGAAAGCGCACTGGGCTCCTGGCTGCATTGATCAAGGTTTACAATACCCTGGGGCAGGGGAGGAGGGATGCAGGCGGGGACTGATTGTGCTTCCCCTCCTGTCTGCAGTGGGACAGAGAGAGAGGGTATGTGTAGGTCTGAGCTCTGGCTCTCAGGCACTGTGGGAGGGGTTTCTGCAGCCTCCTCACCCGTCTCTCGGTTATGTGAGATCTGGTAGAAGCCCAACTTAATGGCTTTTAAAATCATTTCCTCTAAGAGGAATTAAGAAATATTAAAATGTTCATCATCAGAGTGATCCTGAGAGTGTCTTTTCAAGACTACTTGGCTGTGTCATGACACTCAGATAGGGAATTGCTCAAGTCCCTATGATAGGTGGCAGATATGACAAATCTGCACCCTGGTCCACAAGCACAAGTTAACGCTAGGCTGTGTGGACAAGTAGAGTTAGATGAAGACAGACCCAGCCGGTCCTGGACCATAGAGCTGTTTGAGCACAGCTGCTGGAAGTGTGAGGGGCCGACGGTGAGTGTGCACATGTCCTCTGGCTCCCAGTCTGTGAGAAAATTGCAAGGTCGAAATTCAAAACTAGATTTTTCTACAGAGTCTCACTTGGGCCTGCTGCACTCAGATTTGCCCTTTGGGGAGTAGCACTGTGCAGATGTCTTTCTTGAGCCTCAGGTTCCGCTGAGCTTCTGGTCCAAGTAGGTTACCTGTGGTCCCAGGGACATCCTGGAGCAGCCAGGTCTTTGGCGTGTGTGCTGCTAGGGTGACAGCAGACTGGGCAGCCAGGGGTGTACAGCCCGCTCTGGGGCTCGGTAGGGCGACTATGGACTGTGACGCTGAGGCTGTCCTTGGTGACGGCCACTCTGGCCTCCGCTTTCCCTGGGCCGATGGTGAATGTCGGGCTTCTCCTTGACTGTGGCCCAGAGTTCCTTCTGCTGGAGAACGTGGTGCACCACTTCAAGTACCCCTGCGTGCTGGACCTGAAGATGGGCACCCGGCAGCATGGCGATGATGCATCTGCCGAGAAGGCAGCCCGGCAGATGAGGAAGTGCGAGCAGAGCACATCGGCCACGCTGGGGGTCAGGGTGTGTGGCATGCAGGTGAGGAGCCCCGCAAAGCCTTCATGTCTTCACCTGGTGTCGCCCATGCTGAGGCTCCTCTACCACCTTGTGTACAGCTCTGTCTGAGCCGGCCGACCACTCAGGCTTTGTCCTTCCTGGAGCACTCGCTCCACCCCGGTGTCCTACCAGCTGACCTTGGCCCGGACACCGCACCAGGCTCTGGGCCCCTCTGAGAGCCCTCACTGAGACCCTGCTTCCAGGACCTTGGGGCACCTGTGACCCTTACCTGTCAGCAAAATGCTCTCGTTTCCAATGGTGACAGCAAGGAGCTTGTCATCCTGGGCTTGGTGTTCTTGCTTTAGCGTGGGAAAGCTGAGGCGGGGACTGGTGGAGGGTGGTGGTGAGCAGAGCCTGTCCACCCCACGGAGGTTGGGTTGGTCAGCAATGTTTTCCCAGACGGGCTCCCCCAGGGCACCATGAGGCCGCTAGCTCTCCTGCTGCTCACTGTCTGTTTCCTGGGGTTCCAGGTGTACCAGCTGGACACAGGGCATTACCTCTGCAGGAACAAGTACTACGGCCGTGGGCTCTCCATCGAAGGTTTCCGCAATGCCCTCTACCAGTACCTGCACAACGGCCTGGACCTGCGGCGGGACCTCTTCGAGCCCATCTTGAGCAAACTGCGGGGCCTGAAAACCGTGCTGGAGCGGCAGGCCTCCTACCGCTTCTACTCCAGCTCCCTGCTGGTCATCTACGATGGCAAGGAGTGCCGGCTGGAGCCCTGCCTGGACCGCTGGTCCGAGATGCGTCTCAAGCACCTGGACACAGGCATCCCAGAGGTGGCCTCACCCTGCAGTTCCAGCACCAGCCCTGACGTGGGTCCCTCCTCTCCGCCCAAGGTGGACGTCCGCATGATCGACTTTGCACATAGCACATTCAAGGGTTTCCGGGATGACCCCACTGTGCACGACGGGCCCGACCGGGGCTATGTGTTTGGCCTGGAGAACCTCATCAGCATCATGGAGCAGATGCGAGGCGAGAACCAGTAGGCCCAGCTCTGGGCCCCAGAACCCCTTCCTTCACCCACAGGCAGGGACCATCGCTCTGAACTCGCCGTGAGGACACACAGACTTTGCTTTTAAAGGGTTATATTTCTCTTTGGTGTAAACTAAAAGAAATGTTTTTAGCTGTAGCCTGGAATCCATATATATCCACAGTGAAGGAGGCAGAACAGATCCTCTCAGCCAGGCTTCTGAGCTCCGGCGGCTCTGCTGCTGTGTCCAGGCTAATGTAGGAAGGAAGACGTGCTCTTGGACCCGGGCTTCTCAAGCCTGGGTCTTCGGGGGCTGTGGCTGCAGGGCCCTGGGGTTTGTAGGGTGAAGCCTTGGGCTGGCTCAGGGCCCCTCCTTACCTACTCATCCTTGGTCCCCCAGGAGTGAAGGGGACTGGGTGCCTGACTGAACGTTTACAGTGTTGCACTCTGGTCAGCCAGCTTTTTAACAGGTGTTCCAGGGGACCGCAGGCCAGATGACACCGCTCTGGAGGCTGCTGCTCCCGCTGACCTTGGCTTGGGGCCCCCTCAGAGGACAGGCTCCTGGGTTCCCTCAGTACCCCATGGCACTTGAACCTGTTCCTCCTTCTGCCTTTGTGCCCCAGCCAGCCTCTCCCGAAGCCCTTGCTTTTGGAGGCCACCCTGCCTGCTGCCTCTCTGCTGAGGAAGGTGGTGCCCCAGCAGGCCTCAGCCTCTGCGAGCTGTGGCCCACACAGTGTTTGCAGTTCCTGTGCTCTGGGGGGTGGGGCTCTTGGCACTTGGGCAGCTTCTCCCAGGGCTGCAAGTCCCCCCAGGGTCTCACCTTTCCCCAGACCCAATTCCAGGCCAGCACTGGTGGGAGCAGGTTCAGGCCCTGGACCTGGAGGGAAAGCCTGCTCTTTGCTCACAGGGCACTGCCTGCACCCCGGACACAGGTGCCCAGACCCTACTAATGGAAGCCTAGTCTGTCCGTGTGTTCATCTGCCAGCCTCTGTCTCAGGGGTCCGTTCTCTGGGGTGTCGCCTTGCTCATTAGTAGATACTGCTTTCAGCAAAAGCCCTCTCCCTCCTGAGGTGAGCCTGTAGTCCTGTGCCCTGCCCCAGCAGGTGCTCACCCTACACAAAGAGCGCGCTGGCCGCAGAGTGGTGAGAGATGTTGCCCTGCGAGCTCAGCACCCTCCACGGGCCTGGCACGTGGGCCCTTTAGCACTGACAGTGGTGCAGTGAAGGCCCACCAGGGGCCTCCACTCCCCCCCCACCCCCAAATGGTTTGTCATTTTTGCTGTGAGACCTGCTGGCTGTCAAGTGCATGGTCAGGAGGTGAAGCTGCATCTTCCAAGCCCTTGCTGAGAGCCCCCGTCACTGGGGCGTGCCCCTGTGGGGTGTTAGCGGTGAGCTTGTGGGGCTGTGTCTGCTGAGCAGCTTTGGCACCAAGGGGTCATGTCCCCTGTCCTCAGTGACACAGCCTCACTTCTCCCTGCATCGCTCAGCCCTGACCCTGTGCTGGTCGATGGTGAGCAGGTCCCCATTCCTTGGGGCTGGAGGACCAGCTTGCCCAGTTCTGGTCAGTAATGACCACTTTCTCTCTCGTACCATTCTGGATTTAGTCACAGAGGCATAGTTGCTAGTGTAGACAGTCATTTCCTGTCAAGACAAAGGATAAGATAAGACACAGGGTCTGGTGTCACTCTGGACTCTGATCGAACCTGTCCAGCTGTGCACCTCCATTAAGTCTGGGAGCGGATGCTGCCCTCTTCTGCTGCTCTTCATAGTGAGAAGGCTGCACCACTTCTGCTCAGTGTTTTCTTGGCACTAAAGAGAGCAAGCAGGCCTGGGGTTTGCTGCTGTCATCGCCCCCCCCCCCCCCCCCCCAAGGGCAGGGCTCCTCTTCTCAGCACTTTCCTTACCTGGAGACAGAAGCCCTATTGTCCCGGGGTGGGGGTCGGGGGCATGTGTGTGCAAACTTCTGCCACCCCGCCCCCCAGCCCCCTTCCTTCCAGGCCAGAGCCGTTTCTGCCAGGGTCTGCCTTCCCAGCCCCAACTTGGGACCAAAGTGCAACGTGGGATCACGGGTTGGGCGCACCAGGTGACCCCTCTCTACCGTGCTTCCCAGGGCCAAGCTGACACCAGCTCCTGGGGTGAGGGTGGGGCGGGCAGGGGCGGTGCTTACAGAGAAAGGGGACCAGTGTAGCAGCTGGCCAGGGACCCCGCCCCTCCCACTCAGGGCTTGTGCAATGGCTGTGGGGTTTTCCCATGGGGCTAGGCCTGGGCTAGATGATTAGCCACTGCTCACGTGCGCACGCCAGGCCATATGCACGTTCCCTAGAAGCAGACTGCTTTGAACTTTATGTAGAATTTGGTATTGTGACAATTTAAAAAGTGTTTTGAGGGGCGGGGAAAAAAATCTGAGAACCCTGGGAGGGACCGGCCTGATTCTTTTGCTTCTCTGGAAACAGGAAAGCCTGGCCTTTTGGGAATCGCTTTCTACGCCTCTTTCCTGGAAGCTAACACGCCCGCCGTCCACGTCGCCGAGGCCCGCGCCCCGATGCTACACGTGGCTCCGGCCGCGGCTCCGCGCAATTGCCTTTTGTCGGGACCTTGCGTGCGGAGAGTGGGTCTCGGCCAAGCTCGCCTTTCTGTGCACCTAGCGCTGTCCACCCTGCTTGTGTCTGAGGTCGTGTTATGTCCAAATAAAGCCGCTAGAAATTAAGGTCTGTCTGCGTCTTTGTAAAAACCTCGCGGATTCCAGATCAGGCCCTGCTCCCGAGCTCCCGTTTTTCCACTCCCGGCCGGCGCGGAGGGGGCGGGGCCTGGGGGGCGCAGCCGGAAGCGACCCCTCCCGCGACGGAGTCCTGCTGGCTGCCAGTGAAGCCTCGCCCTTGGCGCCAGTTCCGCTTTTGCACCCGCCAATGGACAGCTGACCCGCAAGTCGGGTCCAGGTCCCCATGGCAGCCCGGCGCGCTCGGGCCCTCATTGGCTACGTCTGCCTAAGCGCCGCGCTCCAGCGTGCCGCCGCCGCCGCCGTGCCACGTACGCGGCAGCCGATTGGTCCACCCAGGGTAACGTCACTGCCCGCGCCGGGTCCCTCAGAGTTCCGAGTCGGCAGTACCCCGTCCCGCGTCTCGTCTAGGTTAGCGGGGGCCCTGGATCCCGCGCAGGGCCGACCGGGCAGACGCAGCGGAGCCGGAGCCGGTCAGTGTGGCAGGTGAAGGGAGCGGAGCCGGGCACGGCGTCGGGGGCGGGCCCCGGCCTGTCGGAGCCCGGGACTCACTGTCCAGCCGTCCGCAGGCGCGATGAAGGCACTCATCTTGGTGGGAGGATATGGGACGCGGCTGCGTCCCCTGACACTGAGCACCCCGAAACCACTGGTGGACTTCTGCAACAAGCCCATCTTGCTGCACCAAGTGGAGGCACTGGCTGCGGTAAGGCCTGGAGTCGGGGTCGGAGCTGGCGGGGCAAGGGACGGCTCATGACTGGAGAGCGGGGGTTCCGTGCCTTTTCATCGAACCCACCTGTCGACCGGGCGGTTCTGTCTGGCAGGCAGGTGTGGATCACGTGATCCTGGCCGTGAGCTACATGTCTCAGGTCTTGGAGAAGGAAATGAAGGCGCAAGAGCAGAAGGTGAGGCGCCTATGCATGGCCTCTGCCCTTGCTTCCCGCACAGTCTCCCACCCTTGAGTGAAGGGAACCTGACAGTTTGGCTTCTCCTTTCCAGTTAGGAATCCGCATTTCCATGTCCCACGAAGAGGAGCCTTTGGGGACAGGTCAGTAGGAACAGGAAAGTTCCCTAGACGGGGCCAGGGCGGAGGGAGGAAAACAAGACCCAGTCTGGGTGGAGCCCGCTGAGCCTGGATTCAGGGGCTTAGACCGCCGCCGCCGCCGCCCCCTCACCCCCCGCCCCGCCCCCAGCAAGGTGATGACTTGCCCTCCTCCCCAGCTGGTCCTCTGGCACTGGCTCGTGATTTGCTGTCCGAGACCGAAGACCCTTTCTTCGTCCTCAACAGTGATGTGATCTGTGATTTCCCCTTCCAAGCCATGGTGCAGTTCCATCGGCACCACGGCCAGGAGGGCTCCATCGTGGTAAGTCGCCTCTTCCTTCTCTGACCCTCCCACCACCCTCAGCCTCAGGCTGCCACCTTATACAGTGGGAGCACAGCAGCACCGCATGTCTAAGCTTTGGGGCACGTGTCTGGAGATCTGGGTCAGTGTAAGCATCAAGGCCCAGCCCTGGCTTTGGCCTGAGGTCTTCCTGCACTCAGGTGACCAAGGTGGAGGAGCCCTCCAAGTACGGCGTGGTGGTGTGTGAGGCCGACACGGGCCGCATCCACCGCTTCGTGGAGAAGCCGCAGGTGTTTGTGTCTAACAAGATCAACGCGGGCATGTACATTTTGAGCCCTGCAGTGCTGCGGCGCATCCAGGTGTGTGGGGACCATCTGCTGGAGGGGCTGGGTGGGGCAGGCCACCGCCACCGTGACTCTGCTCACGAGACGCCCACTCCCACAGCTGCAGCCCACGTCCATTGAGAAGGAGGTCTTCCCCATCATGGCCACAGAGGGGCAGCTCTATGCCATGGAACTGCAGGGTGAGGCAGGAGGCCACGGGTGGGGGTGGTCTGTGGCTGGGCTGAGCCTCCTGATGCGGCCCTTCCTGCAGGCTTCTGGATGGACATTGGGCAGCCCAAGGATTTCCTCACTGGCATGTGCCTCTTCCTGCAGTCACTGCGACAGAAGCAGCCTGAGCGACTTTGCTTGGGCCCTGGTATTGTTGGCAACGTGTTGGTGGTGAGGGGACCCTTATTTCACTCCAGCCCAACATCAACACTAACCCTCCCCACCCCACCCCCCAGTCTTGGGGACACAGGGCTCACGGGGATCTTCCTCACTGCCCACAGGACCCAAGTGCCCGCATTGGCCAGAACTGCAGCATTGGCCCTAACGTGAGCCTGGGCCCTGGCGTGGTGGTGGAGGACGGAGTGTGTATCCGGAGGTGCACGGTGCTGCGGGACGCCCACATCCGCTCCCACTCTTGGCTTGAGTCCTGCATTGTGGGCTGGCGCTGCCGTGTGGGCCAGTGGGTGAGCCAGGAGCTGGGCCAGGTGGGCAGGGAGGTAGGGCATGCACAAGCCCCACTGACAGACAGTCTGTGCCTCCCCCTCCAGGTGCGAATGGAGAATGTGACGGTGCTCGGGGAGGACGTCATCGTTCACGATGAGCTCTACCTCAATGGGGCCAGCGTGCTGCCCCACAAGTCTATTGGCGAGTCAGTGCCAGAGCCTCGCATCATCATGTGAGGGTGTGCTGTGGGGCTGGTGGAGCCCCCCTTGCCCATCAGCCAGGGGACCACTGGCTCTGCACAGAAGTGCCCTGGACTCGCTGCCACGTGCCTGGGGTGGACTGGATGGTGAACACCTGCCTCCTCATGTGGGTGCTGCCTCCTCACCTGGCAGGCTCCCCACTGGGCAAACCCCACATCCCCCACTCAAGAAGCCCGGGGCAAGGGCTGTATGGAATAATAATTTAATGCTCACTGTGGCCCTGACTGAAAGGCAAGCTCAGGCACAATCAGGACCTCTGCTGGGCTCCCACCACTGAGGCGACATGCAGGCAAGATGAGGGTCGGGGAGGGGGGACTGGTGCAAGGCAAGAGGAGCACGAGGGGGCGGGGCTAGGTGGCCGAGGAGGTGGTGCTGCTGCTGGCTGCTTTCTCCCAGTCCTCCACTGACACGATGGTGGCCTTGCAGAAGAAGCAATCCTTGTTGTTCATCAGGTGCTGGTTGATGCAGGCTCTGCCACAGGATGCAGGTTGATGCAGGCTCTGCCCCAGCCTCCCACGCCAGCACCTGGCCGCCCGCCCACCCCGCCGCCGCCCCCACCCCGCTTACTTGCAGGACTTGTGCCCACAGGGCTGGAACACAGCCGAGATGGGGTGGGCATAGCAGATGGGGCAGAGGTCTTCCTCACTCGTGGGCTGCAGAGAGGACAGTGCAGGGTGGGCCGGGTTGGGCTCCCCCAAGGGACTTGTGGGGACGTCAGATAAATGGAAATAGAACATAATGGGATTTGGCCACAGACTTTGGAGCCCCCTCATGCTAGCTTCTCTACCGGGCACACTTGGATGGCACAGACTCACCGTGGCTGCACTCACCAGTGAGGCTGCCGCCGCCTGGGCAGACGCGGCAGTCAGGTGTGCCAGCATCTGCTGCACCTGGGCCAGCTCTTCAGTGCTGATATAATCTGTGTCTGATGAGAAACGTGTGGCTTTAATTCTGCCTCTTGAGTAGCCTTAGCCGAGGGCTGGCTCTACTAGATCCTTGGGCCTGGCCCAGCCCCCAATACCTCTAGCTGCCACCCCCACCCCTCAGTTATGCAGATGGGTGCTCCCCTCCACTTACAGCTCTGCAGGGAGAAGCGCTTCCGGTCAGGGGCAGGCAGGGCGGCGCCGGGCGCTGGGGGATCTGACAGCCCCAAGAGATAGCATATGGAACGGAGCTGGAAGCAGGGGTCAGCCAGGAGCACGGAAGTTGCTCGCTCTGTCCTGATTGGGGGAGGGGGTGCTCAGGCCTGCTGGGAAATGCTCTGCTGAGCGAGAGGAGCCACCCAGAACACCTGGGTGCTAGCCAACTCAGGATTCCGTGGTATATCCCTGCTGGGCCCAGAGCAGGACCCAAACAGCCTTGACATCACCTTGCGGGTGGGGGGCTTGACAGCTGCCAGGTGGGTAAAAGTTAACGAGCCCTGTGGCACATTTAACCCTTCAAAATCACTCCAGATCTCCTCCCACTGCCGCTCCAGGGAGAGGAACGCTGCAGAAATCCTTGAGCCAAATGCTCCTGTGGGCCGTGCTCGCGCCCCCTCTGGTGGCCACACGGTGTCCCGCCCCCCTCCTGGAGCCAATGGGGGCTGGAAGCTCTGCCGTAAGCCACGCCTCCCAGCGAGTACTTAACCGAGGGATCGGGGGCGTGCTGGGAGACAGCGAGAGCTGCTGGCGGCGCAGGGAGAGTCCCGGCTCCCTGGTCTTGACCCATTTGGCGCCACTCACGTCGGGTGTGAGCAGGAGCGGGTGAGTTCCTAAACTGCGTCCTGCCCCATCCCTGGCGGTCATTGCCATGGCCCGGCTGGTGCCGCTGGGCGCATTGCTGGGCGTGCTGCGCTTCGGGTTAAGCGCCCCAGACTTCCCCGAAGACTTCCTGCCCCCAGTGCCCCACAACTGTCCCGCGGGGTGTGTGTACGCCGCCGACCTGCTGAGCTGTGCGGGCCGCGGGCTGCAGGAAGTGCCGGCGGCGTTGCCTGCCACCGCCACGGACCTCGACCTCAGTCACAACGCGCTCCGCCGCCTGCGCCCCGGCTGGTTGGCGCCCCTCTCCCGGCTGCGTGCGCTGCGCCTGAGCCACAACGAGCTGGAGGCGCTGGGTCGCGGCGTCTTTACCAACGCCAGCAGCCTGCGGCTGCTCGACCTGTCATCCAACGCCCTGCGGGCGCTGGGCCGCCACGACCTCGACGGGCTAGGGGCGCTGGAGAGGCTGCTGCTCTTCAATAACCGCCTGGCCCGCCTGGACGAGCACGCCTTCCACGGCCTGGGCGCCCTCAGCCAGCTCTACCTGGGCTGCAACGAGCTCACCGCCTTCTCCTTCGACCGCCTGCACGGCCTGGGCGCCGCCCGCCTCCGCACGCTGGACCTCTCCTCCAACCAGCTGCACCGCATCCCCGTGCCCCAGCTGGCCGCGCTGCCCGACTTCCTCAAGAACGGCCTCTACTTACACAATAACCCCTTAGCCTGCGACTGCCGCCTCTACCACCTGCTGCAGCGCTGGCACCAGCGGGGCCTGGGCGCCGTGCGCGAATTCGCGCGCGAGTACGTGTGCCTGGCCTTCCGGGTGTCCACGTCGCGGGTGCGCTTCTTGCAGCACAGCCGCGTCTTTGAGAACTGCTCCGCTGCCAGTGCCCAGGACTTAGAGCGGTCCGAGGAGCAGCTGACGGTGCAGGCGGGCCAGCCCCTGCGGCTGCGCTGCAACACCAGCGCCCCGGCCACGCGCGTCGCCTGGGTCTCTCCCGAGCACGAACTGCTCCTGCCGCCGGGCTCCCGCGATGGAAGCATCCAGGTGCTGGCCGACGGAAGCCTGGCCATCAGGAAGGCGCAGCAGCAGCACCACCAGGGCATTTTCGTGTGCCTGGCCGCCGGACCCCACCTCCACAACCAGACGCACGAGTACAACGTGAGCGTGCACCAGCCGCGGCCGGACGCCAAGGGCTTCAACACGAGCTACACCACGCTGCTGGGTTGCATCGTGGCGCTGGTGCTGGTGCTGCTCTACCTATTCGTGCCGCCCTGCCGGGGTTGTTGCTGCTGCTGCCGCCAGGCCTGCCACTGCCGCCGCTGCCCCAGCTCGCCCAGCCCCCTGCAGGAACTCAGTGCTCAGTCCTCCGTGCTCAGCGCCACGCCCCCTGAAGTACCCAGCCGCAAGGCCAGCACCCACAAGCACGTGGTCTTCCTGGAGCCGGGCAGAGGGGGCCTCAATGGCCGCGTGCAGCTGGCCGTAGCCGAGGACTTTGACCTCTGCAACCCCGGGACCCTGCAGGTCAAGATCAGCTCAGGATCTGCTAGCTCCACGGCCTCTGAGGGGCCTGTGGTGACCTAGGCTGCTCAGGGTCCCTGGGCCATCGCCTCGCCTGCCGCTTGCCCTGCTCCCTGCCGCGCAGTCCACTCACCCAGCAGCCCGCCTAGGGCCAGTTTCAATGCACTTCTGGAAGGTTTGGGGTCCCGGGCCTGTCTCCTGCTCTGCCCCATCAAAGGACTGCCCAGCCCCTGACGTAGCAGAGTTGTTCTGCAACTGGCCCAGGGAGCTCCAGGTTCCCACACTGCCCCAAGAGGAAAGAGGCTGAGGCCCATCTCGCCAGTATTTGCAATCAGGTTCCAGCAGCTGCTGGGGTGTGGGGCTGCAGGGCTGGGGGGATGTGGCAGGCCACAGGGAATGAGGGAGCTCTGGAGCAGGACCTGGCGCCCCCACCAGGTGGAAAGAAGGAACAGACTCCACCAGCACCCAATCTACTTAAAGCCTGCCCCCCTCAGATGACAGATATGGAGTCTGGAGGCAGGCAGGAGGTAGGCGGCTAGTGCTAGGAGAGACTGCAGGGGCTTGACCTGAGTCCCAGGAAGACTGGCCCTGTTCTTGCCAGGCTTCCAAGAGGACATTGCCCATTCCATAGCAGCCTCACGGGAGGAAACAGAGGGCCAACAAGGCCTGTGTCCTCAGCTTTGCGGCAGCAAAAAGCCTGCCTGGCCAAGCTGAGGGGTGTTGGGTGGAGGGGGTACTCACTGAGCCGGAACTTGCCGTCCCTCGAGGCCGGAGCCTCTTAAGGGCTGGCACTGATCTCAGCCTAATGGCTGAGGCAAAGCCCAGCTTCTTCCCACACGTCACCCCCAACTACAGGGAGAGGTCTTCGAAATCCTCCCTCGAGAGGAGGTGGGACTGGAACCCTGTGGCATGCTGGGCCCAGCTATCATGGAGTTTCTCAATAAAGACCGGACACACCCAGAGCTAGCGCCTGCCTTCTCAGGTGCAGGTACTTGTGTTTGTGCGCGTGTGAGCGCGATGCCCCTGCCTACAGCTTTCCACCTCATTAGTGCCACAGCCCGCTGGCCATTGCAGGTCAACCCTAGGAGAGCCTGACTCCCGACCCCTGCTGGAGGCAGGGCCACGGCCTAAGGCTGCAACCAGTGGGCTCCGACAGGACCCCTGCTCTGTCCTGCTGGTGTCCTTTCTCCTGCCCAGAGCTGCCCCCTGCCCCCCCCACACCCAGCTTCAGGTGGTCTCAAAGGTAGTCCTGAGGCAGTTTTAAAGATGAGGACACAGGTGCAGGGAGAGAGCTGCTGTTGGCAACACTCACCCTGAGGCTGGGCCATGCACCAGGAGCTGCACCAGGATGCCCGTCACTGCCACCAGGATGGGGTAGTGGTCCACGCTCTCCAGGCCTGCGGGGACGGGGAGGAAGCACATGCCCACATGCCCACAGGAGCAGTGGGGCCCGGGCCTGCTTCCTGAGAGCTTGGGGGAGGGTGGGGAGAAACCAGGCCTAAGGGGCATGTGGAGGGTCTCGGAGTCCTCACCAGGCAGCCGCAGGGTGACCACACGGTCAAACAGGTTCCTCTCAGCCGTCACCCGGTTCAGCACCTGGTTCAGCAGCTGTGAAGGCAGAGCCCGTTGGGTTGGTGGATGAGCAGGCTCACCCCGGGGCGTCACCAGCATTGCCCCAAAGCCGAAGGACACACCTGCGCCAGCCGCCGCAGTAGCATCTCGGAGGTGGGCTGGGTCCAGTCGAGGAAGGTCCCGGGCACCAGCGTAATGGTCATCTCCAGGACCCGCAGCAGGCTGACCGAGAGGTCGAAGCAGGTGGCGCACACCTTGAGCTGCCGGCTGTCCACGAAGTTCCGTTCCAGGCGCTCAGCTGCCTGCTGGATCTGGGCCACACCGCAGGCAGCCAATGGTCAAGCGGCCTGGCCGCACCCCTGGGGCTGAGCCGTGTCTCTCTCGCCCCCTCTGCCCACAGGGCCGCAGCATCACCCACCTCCTGGATCATGCCGATGAACTCTGAGAAGGCCCAGTTGAGCTGGTTGAGGACGCTGTTGAGGAAGCTCGGTGCCACGTCAGGGCCCTGGCGCAGCAGGTCAGCCATGTGCCGCTGCAGCAGGGTGGAGGGGCAGGGCTCTGCAGGGCACAGGAGGGGCGTCGGGGGCAGGCCAGGGTAGAGGTCCCTGCCCATCTGCCTCTGTCCTCGCCACGGAGTTGCTGGTATGAGGACGAGGATGGAAAGACAGCTCCCTGGGACTACAGGTGATGCGGCAGGGAGCCGTGTGGGACCTGCTAGGTCCCTCTCGGGAGCAAGCAGCTGTTCCAGACTGCCCTTGTGCTGCCTGACCTGGGCCCAGCCCCGTCACCCCACCCCAGCCTGACCCTCCAAATGGGGTCAGCCCTAGACCCCTCCCCACCCAGGGATCTGCTGGGAGCCGAGGCTTGCAGCAAGCTGGCCTCCCTCTCCTGTCCTCTGCTGCCCTTGGCGTGGCCTTGGCATGTGGGAGGGGGTGGGCGCCGAGCCTGAGGCTGGCAGGCACCAGTAACCAGAGCCCTCAGCCAAGGCCGGGACCGGCAGGCCTCCCTCACCTCCCGATGCAAATCAATAGTTCCTGCGGCAGGAGGACACAGTCCTGGCCCCGCAGCCACCATCTGCACGCCACCCAGTTCCGCCAGCGCAGGACCCAGGTGACTGGCAAGGATTTGCTGTGACTTTGCACAAGACACCCCTCACGGCAAGGACAGTCCTGCGAGCTCACAATGCACAGGCTAGCCATGCAGGGGGACAGCCCGGTGCTCGAGGCCCCAAAGCTTAACTGGACCATGGCCCCAGCACAGCCTCTGCTCTCAACCAAACCACCACCCCCGCTTCCAGGAAGACCCCCCAGCGGCCCAAGCAGCTCAGTCTGTATCGGACTTGGCCCTGGGATAAGGTCGGAGGCCGGGCTGCTCAGTGGGCTAGGGGCAGGACCCTCCCTCACCTGCGCAAGCCCGGGAAGGCGTTGCCCTTTGTCCTGGTCACCCAGACCAAGCATTGGACCCCAAGCGCAGACGGGACAATACCTTGTCCCCCCACACCACCCTGAACCCCAGGGGTGCAGTCCCGGGGAAGCAGGGAGCTTGAGGCCCTGCGGAAGAAGTGGGTGGTGAGAGTGACCCTGGGATGGGGGGGTTGGTGGGTGGCGCAGCCCGGGCGCTACTCACTCTGGAGGCTGGGCAGGTTGGCATCCTCGGGCTTGGTTTTCAGTAGGTGTGGCAGCCGTGTGTAGCGGTACCCGAACCCACAGCCCTAGGGGCAGGTCAGCAAGGGGTGAGTGGGGCAGGGTGCCCCTCACCCAGACATCATTGGCCCCCACACTCACCCCCACCCCCTGCAGCCAGACTTACCCTCCAGAGCCGCACTAGGATCCAGTTAGTCTGGGCCCACGGCCGCTGCTCATAGGGCGCCAGGAGGTTCCTCACCATGGCGACACGCCTATGGGCAGACGTGGTGGGTGAGGGGGAAGGCCAGCGCAGTGCCCCCGCCCCAGCCCCTCTGCACTCACTGCTCCTCGGGGATCCGCTCCACAGCCCGCAGGGAGTGTGGGTAGCACACGTAGCTGGCCAGGGCCTGCATCAGCGAGTCTCGGGTATCTGTGGGGGGAGGCCCACGCCTCATGCCCACCTGAAAGCAGCTGGCTAGAGATGCCACCTGCCCACCCCCCACTGCACCCACCCCAGCCCACTGTGGGTGCCTCACCGGTGCCTATGATGCGCGTGTCAGCAAAATGTTTGGCAAGGATGGCGGCCAGGCGGGTCAGGGTCTCCTCATAGCCTGGGGGCGATGGCAGCTGGTGAGGAGTGGGGCCCGAGGCAGGCCAGCCCCTCGTCGGGGCCAGTGTTGGGGACGTGGGCAAGGCATTCACTGACAGGTGGTGGACTCAGGAGGTAGGGCAGGTCTTGACACACATCCCAGTACACACCCTTGAGGGCACGGGTCAAAGCCCCTTAGTTCCCCCCACGGTCCCCCACAGCTCCACCTCTGAGCACATGCAGCCCCCAGCTAGGCTGAGGCTGAGACGGGGCGCTGACACCCCCACCTCCCCATCCAGATGCAGACCACCAGGCCCGGACTGGAAGTGTTGGTCTTGATGCCGCTCCCCCCCGAGGGACGCTCATACCCTGGCCCAGGTGGGGCAGCAGGGGCAGCGTCCAGCTGGTCCCACAGCCCCAACAAGGGAGTGGAAGCAGGGGCCGCACCCCATGGGCACCTCCGCTTAACTAGCAGCACTGGGAGAGCTGCCCATACTGAGGCCCTTGGACCGCAAGCAGGCTCCCCCCACAGGGCCCTGGGAAGCTAGTGCCGGGCAGGCCACTCTGCTGTGCCCCCCAGCCCGAGAAGCCTGTCACCTGGGAGCTCCTCCATGCTGTGCACAGGGCCGAAGTAATTCTTGAGGGCACTGTAGCTGTTGATGGCCACGCTCAGGTAGAACTCGGGCATGAAGGCGAAGAGGGCGCCAGTGCGGTCCCCATGCTCGATGGTCTGCAGGCAGACGCGCAGCAGCCAGTAGATGTCCAGCATCTTCTCCTGTGGGGGCCACACACAGGGTCAACGGGGCAAGGGCTGGGCCTCCCCCAAAACACGAGGGGCTCAGCCAGGGATGGGGAGCACAACACTGTGGCGACTGAACCCTGCCTTGTATCTTGGGAGGAGGAGGGCGCGAAGGTTTGAGGCAAAGGAGTGACATGCCCACAAGAGCGGACATCGCCAGGACACGGGGGCTGCAGGGGACAGCAGGATGGAACTGCAGGGAAGCCCAGTGTCAAGAATGCGGGCAGGTCCTGGGGGCCATGCAGCTCAGGTTGCACGGAGCAGAGGTGACTGGAGGAGATGCCCACAGAGGGGGTCCCCAGGGGGCAGAGTGAGACAGGGATGGTCACAGCAGCCAGAGCAACAGGCCAGCCATGAATGTGGGTCCTGGGTTCTCAGAGGGGGCCCTCGGCCACCCCTGGCCCTGGCTGCACTCTACACCAGGTGTCCTGAGGGCCTGCGGAAAGGGTGTGAGCAAGGAGCCAAGGGCACAGCGGGGCTTGGGCCACAGGAGCCAGGAAGCCTGAGGCTGAGGACTGTGTGGGCAATGGCTCTGACCACCCAGGGTGGAGATATGCTCCCAAAGATGGCAGGGAGAGCCAGCTTCCTTCTAAGGGGGCCAGGCGGGCAGTGGGCAGGGCCCGAGTGGGGAAGGGGATTCCCTTGGAAGATGACCACCCCCAAGGCTGGCGAGGAAGAGGGGGTGAGTGGTGGGTGGCCTGGGTCAAAGAGAAACCTCCAGGAGGAACCCCAAGCCCAGGAGGGCCAGCTAGTGATGGGCCTTGTGGGGACAGGCCCCAGTGGGGCAGGAGGGACTGGGGGACAGAGCACAGCCCAGAGGGAGGGCACTGTTTCATCTCCCCAGAAGGCCGAATGCCCTGGGAGGGCACACACTTGTCTTTCTGGTTCCCCACAGTGGCACTTGCCATGCAGGCATGTTGTTGAATGCGTGAGTGAGTGAGGAAAGGAGCAAGAGAGTGGCCTGGGGGTGGGGGGTGGGCACGAGGCCTGGCGAGGGGCTGAGGACTGGCCCCGACCTCAGACAGGATCAGGAACTGGAGGGGAACTGAGTTCGAGTGCCGTTTCAGAGTTCAGGGGTGGGGTCTGGGCCCAGCCTGGAGGACCGTGCGCACGCAGAGCTGCAGGCAGTGTGGCACGTGGCCACACCTACACACCTTGGAGTACAGAGTGGCGTGGACCCAGGCGAGACGGCGGCTCAGGTGGTCCAGCTTCTCTGAGAACACCTTTTGGCTCTTGGTCAACTCTGCAAGAATATCCTTCCGCTGCCACAGCGGGGGAGGGCGGGCAGTCAGCTGCCTGGCCCTAGGCCTACGTTCACACTACCAGTCTTGGGCTGGCCGAGGCTCCACCCTCCCAAACTCAGCTCCAACACGGATCCCCCAGGGAGGCTGGGCAAGCCTCAGAGCAGGCTGGGGGGTGGGGGGCCTGGGAAGAGGAGCTGACACCAAGGGCTCAACAGAAAGGAAATGTCTAGTAAACCAGGATGGCAACATATGAACAAATGGGCTTGATACAATTGATGTATGAATTGTTACAAGAGCTGTAAGAGCCCTCAATAAAATGTTAAAAATAATAAACCACTGCGACTTTGTAAAAAAAAAAAAACGGGCCTGGGGTAGCCTCCACTGGTAGGAGAGGTGCTGCTTGGGTGGCACTGCCCGGGGCCCATGAGCCCCTAACCAGGGCACCCCCAGACCTCCGCGCCAGAACTACAGCAGGAGCCGCTGTGCTCATCAGACCCCCAGCTCTGCTGACAGTGGGGAGCGGGCTGCCTGGGAGTGGAGTCCAGCCCAGCCCAGCCCAGCCTCAGCAAGGGCCCCAGGGTGTGCGGGGAGCCAGGCCTTGCTTCCTGCTGAATCTGCAGGAGGCACTCAGGGAAGAATCCATAATTGATGAGGAGGGGGCCATGCGTCAGCACTTAGCAGGCTGTGGGCAGGGACCTTTGGCAAGGCTGCCGCAGGCTGATGGCGAAGGCACTTGGCCGGCCGGTGGCCCTGCTGCAGCCCCACCCTCACTGCACGGCCTGCTTATTAGGGCAGGGTGGGGTTGAAGGCAGTTGTGGTGGCCCCTGCAGAGGCAGGGTGGTGGCAGCCCTCACCCCTGGCCCCAGGAACCCAGCTGCCTGCCGAGGCTTACCCACTTGGGGCACCGGTGGATCTTGTCCTCAGTGTCCCTCAGAGCCACCGCATACTCGTTGACGTCATCGGACACACCCACCATCTGGAGCGATGGGCAGCACAGCCAGGGTGACTCCTCCCTCAGGCTTCTCGGAGACAGCCTGCCCAGACCCCAGCCCTGCCATGTGGCTTCCCACCCTGCCAGACCCCGCCCTCCCACAAGCTGGCAGGGCCTTACGCAGGCACACTCATGCACATTAGCACACATGCCCACACCCCGCGGTGGCCGTGCAGAAGCCCCTGTGGTCGTGGCCGGCTGGTAGGCAGGACCTTGCCCAGCTGCTGGTGGACGCTGAGGCTGTACATCATGACGGCGCCATCGAGGACCTCCAGCAGCGAGTTCTCTGTCAGAGGCTGCTCAGGCTCCTCCGGTGGCCGGCCCACCAGCAGACCCTCGTTCCAGTGGCTACCCTCAACTGGAGAGGAAGTGGGGAGGCAGCGGGGGCGGAGCCAAGGTCAGGGCTACCCTGGCCTCTCTGGGCCTCCCCGAAGAGGCCGCCCTCTGCCCCTCCTGCGCCTGGAGCAGGATGCTGTTTCTGCAGTATCGATCTCCTCCCGCCCTTGAGGCGCTGCCAGGCCACAGGCCGGAAGGGCAGGCTGCATTTCGGGGCTGCGGAGGGTGGGGGGGGTGGGGGTGGCGGGGAGGGTTGTGTGTGACACGAGGGCCCTCCCTTGCACCTACTGTCCTCTCGGGTCCTCTGCTCAGCGCTCAGCGTGCGGACCTTCACCTTCTCCAGGGTGCTCAGGGGCCGGCGGGGCGTCATGAGGCTCATGGCCGCTGTGCTGAGGAAGCGGTTGGCTCGGCCCAGGGTTGGGGAACTGAGCCAGCCGGGCCTGGGCAGGGGCAGCGCCCCCCCTATGGCTAAGGCCTGTATGGGGCGCTGCAGCGGAGAGAGGAGGCCAGAGGCCACTGAGCTCCCCAGGACCAGGGCCCACTCCAGGCGGGCTCCCCTGATCCAGGGGGCCAGGGAGAGGGGCAGGTGGGGATCCCATCTTCCCACAGAGCCTCTTGGGAGGCCCTGTGTGACCCCCCCACCACCGCCCCCTCCCCACGGGGCACCTGGGCCACAGTGGGAGAGGGCTCTTCGTCCTCGTCCAGGTCGTCCATGGTGGCCGCCTGCAGCTCCAGTGGGTCAATCAGGATGTTGGCCTTGGAGGCAAGTTCGTCTGGGAGCAAAGGCAGGGCCCTCAGGTCCGAGGGCAGGCGGGGACCCCGACGAACATTGCACCTTCCCCCCTCCTCCCCTCCCCGCCTCTGCCTTGGCTCCGCAGCCCAGGGGCCTCGCCTCCTGCCAGCCGTCAAGGCGCCCTCCGTGACTGTCCGTGCTCCAGGGCCTCCACTGTGCCCAATTCCCCTGGCAGTTCCTTCCTTTGCCTGTCCACACACCATCCATCAGAGACGAGGGGGCACTGCGCTCTCTCCTCCCCGCCCCACCCCGGGGCTGGGCTCGCCACACCTCCACAGAGGGAACCAGCTCAAACACCTGAGTCCGACCCTGACAGGCCCCACAACCCCCTGCCGGCGCCCACTCCCCACCACAGGAGCCAGGGGCAGCAAACGGTCAGCTTGTCCTGACAGCAAAGACAAGAAGGGGGGACACACATGACCGGAAGCAGAATGACCTTGGACCAGAGTGGACATTGAAAAGCGCCCGTTCTCACGGAGCCAACCAAGCAGACGCTGCGGATGGGAGCCTTGTCGGCTACGTGAACGTCCACCAGAACAGCAGCAAACAACAAACAAAAGAGGCTTTGAATCTCCATTCCTCTACTGCCCCTCCCTCTCCCCATCCCTTGAGCCCCCATGGCTGCAGGGAGGGTGCTTCATCTCCAGGCCCCAGGTCTTCTCCCTTGAATGCAGTTTGGGCAGCACCTGCACCCCCACAAGCCCCTGACTTGCCTACAGGGCTCCCAGGGAGCAAAGGCGCCCCAAATCCAAGGCCTGGAGGGGCAGCTCAGCAGCTCCCGGCTGCAGGGCCTCGGACGCCCTCTGGTGGGCACAGGGAGCTCAGCAGCCACACTTGCCCAGCCCTGCTCACTGCCTGCTGGTACCTTTGAGGGTTTTCCGAAGGTGGGAGAGGAGACCCCCGAGGCGCTGCAGGTCGAAGTAGTCTACCTTGCCATTGTAGAAGATCTGAGGGGGGACGTAGGCCTCTGTGGGGAGGCGGGGAGCCAGTCAACAGTCTGGATGGGAGGGTCCCCACACCCATGCAAGCGGATGGGCGTGGATGGGCCAGCCTCGCCCCTGCCCATATTCAGCTCAGGGCCCACCAGTACATGGGCTGAGAGGAAGGCAGCAATAGGAGAGAGGGGCTGGCCCACCCCTGCACATCCCTGCTACGGAGCAGAGAGGCTCCCGATGACCCTGTGGGGATGTGTCACCCGCTGGAGCCCCCACAAGGCAGGCCCTGACAGGGCTGGCAGGGCAAGGGCTCAGAGCAGCACTCACCCTCGCTGAAGGAGGCGCGGGGGTGGGACACCTTGTACTCGTCCCAGAAGTGGCGCAGGGCAGAGATCAGCCGGTGCAGGAAGCAGACCATGTACTCAGGGGGGCAGAGCATGGGCATGTTCTGTGGGCACCAGGCATCAGCTGTGTTTGTGCGGCCCAGAGCCGCCTCCTCACCCAAGGCCCTGCCCTGGGGTCCTGGGTGCAGGGCCGGGCAGGATGACGCAGGCTGAGAAGGGCCAGAAGCCAGGGGCCTGGGGCCTGCAACACAACCAGGGTCTGGCCAGGTGGGTACCTACCCCGCGGCCGCTCGCGTTCTCTTGCAGAAACTTCCGGAACTTGGTCAGGAAGATGTACCGGGACGCCTCGCCCTTCAGAGGAGGGAAAAAGAAGCCTGCGGTGAGGTGAGAGTGAGGCCCAGATGGGCCAGCTCACCGCCACACGAAGGCTAGACCTCCCGAGGGAACCTGCGCCCTGAGGCCCAGCACCCTTCCCCGAAGGCCGCTCACCCCATTGTCGTCCCTATTGTCCAGCAGCAGCTTCAGGATCTGGACCTGCAGCTCTTCGACCACTATGGCAGGGGACAGGGGCCAAGGGTTGGGGCCTCGCCCTCAGGGGTTGGGGTCAGGGATCCACCACCATTGCTTTCTGAGCCCCAGCTTCGTCCCACTCCCAGGAGCACCCCACCGGGGCCTGAGGTTGGGGCTCACCTTCAATGCGCTTCTTCAGCCTCTGGCAGCCCCGTTCATAGGCCCGGCGCCGACGCCGCTCCTCCGCGGTCTCCTCCTCTTCCTCCTTGCTCTCTTTGCCCTGGACATGGATGGATGGACACACACGGACACACACACACGGAGCAGGCCTGCTTCAGACACCAAGAGTTGGGCCAGGGTCTCACGTGCCAGGTAGCTCCTACAGCCTGGACCAGCCCCCACTGTGCCCGCCCACCGCTGCCCACTCAGGTCACCCACCTCCCTGCTGGAGCGGAGCGGCCACCAGGTGGTGGGAATGAGCTCGCGCAAGCCGGCCTCCTCCACGCGCAGGGGGCTCTTGATGTAGAAGAAGACCACGGAACGGAGCACGTCGAAGCTGGTGGTGGTCAAGGTGGAGCTCGGCTCTCACAGAGTGCCCTGTACACCGCTTGTCTTCCCCACCCTGGTAGTGCCCACCAGCCCCCTGAGACCCTGGGCCCTGAGAAGGGAGGTGCACCACAGGTGCAGGTGATGTGGGGCAGGCGGGGCCTGGCCGCTGAGCCCCTGGCCCCACCTCAGGGCACCCAGCTGTGCTTGTGCCTCTCAGACTCAGCAGGTGGCCGCCAGGCCGCCAGCCCAAGGCAGGGCGCTCCTCCTGCTCAGACGGGTCAGAGCGCAGGAAGAGCTGGCTCCCGAAACGACGCAGAAGAGGGAAGGGAACGACGACCCCACACATCTGTGGGACACGGGGCCCACGCCTCTCCACTCCAGCCATGTGGCAGCCAGCCGGCCCTGGGGACAAGGACGCAGACTCAGGGAGCCTGTGGTCTTTTGCCTCCCCAGGGGGCCCTGGCCAGACGGACACTGCCTCCCTGCTCCCTGCTGAGCCCAGGGCTCCACATGCCCCTCCTGCCCCGCAGCAAGGGGAGGATACAGGACGTTGCTGAGCAGAAACTTTCGGGACTTCTCGTGCTTCAGGATGGCGATGGTGAGCCGCAGGTAGTGGATCTGCAGGGGGGGGGGGGTGCTCACAGTGGGTGGCCCAGGTCCAGGCCCCTGGGGGCAGGGATGGGGCGGGGCAGGGCAGGGGTCCCACCTGCAAGCCCAGGTCTGGGACGATGGGCGAGAACCGGTACAGTCGCAGCAGGGACAGCATCAGCTGCTTCAGGCAATCCTGGACCTCAAAGTCCTGGGTGGGGGTTGGGGTTGGGGCAGGAGGAGGGTGGACTGCTTGCCAACCACTGGGGACCTTCCCCAGCTGCTCCCTGCCACACCCCCGCCTGCGCCTGAGAGCTGGCCCCGGGGCTCACCTCCAGGAAGAGCCACAGGAGGTCCAGGACCTGGCGCACTGTTGACTGCGCCCTGGCAGGGGGGCCCGCCTCCACGATGCCCAGCAGGAAGCCCATGAGCACAGCCTCTACCAGGTACACCATGCGCTGCACCGAGGGCAGCACCAATCAGGTCCCACCCCAGCCCTGGGCACCCTGCCTACACGCTGCCAAGGCCACACTGAGCAGGCTTTTGGGGACCCACCAGCCCCGCAGGCTCTTGGGGATTCTCATGCAACCCCCCCACCCTGGGGTGGTGGTGGTCTTCTCCAGGGTCTGACTCGCCAGCAAGGGCCAGCATCACATTCTCCCACGGGGCCTGGGCCTGTGGCCCTGTGGGTTAAACACCGAGCTCCTCACCACAAGGGCAGCAGTTCTAACCCACCAGCCACTCCTAGGGAGGAAGATGCTCCCTAAAACTTAGAGCCTTGGGAACCCACAGGGGCAGTTCCTCTGGGCCCTACAAGGTTGCTATGAGTCGGGATGGGCTTGATGGGCATGGGCCGTCTTAGTGGCACTGATGCCTAGTGATTTTTGCTCTAGGAACCCCCTGCCCATCTGCTAGACCGTCTGTCACCTCCTCCCCTGGGCGTTCTCTTGGGGTCTGGTGATGTGGGACCTCCTGGTGGACATCACATGCCTCAACACCCCAGGCCCCGGCCACCAGGCCCGGCCGTCCCAGCACGTCACCCCTCACCAGGAGTGGCGCGAAGCGGTGGAAGATGTGGGCCAGCGTCAGGAGGACGGTGGGCTGGCCCTGCAACTGCCACTCAGAGCTCTCCTTCTCCACCAGCCGTCCTTCCTGAGGAGGGGGGAGGTTGGGGGGGGGATGAGGGCAGAACTGGGAGAGACCCCCTCCCCCCCACCCTGCCCGGCACATGCGCCCCTACCCCCTGCCCCCTGGACCTGGCTCACCACAGGATCCAGGTCCACCTTGAGCACCGCCTGGAAGCAGCCAAGCAGCCGCTGTGCTCGCGCCAGGTCGGCCCGAGGTGGGTCCTGCAGGGGCCGGTAGCCCGCCACGGGGTGGGTGCGACCGAGTTAAGCCAGAAACCTGTCTGTGACCTAGACACCCCTCCCCCTCCCAACAGAGAGCCCTGAGGAGGGGCCTGGGGCTCTTGGGCAGGCCTGTGGAGTTGGACGGCCAGGTGTGCCCCCCAGCCCCACAGCCCATTTAAATCTCCTCTGCTGCTTCTGGTTCTTGCTCTGGTCTGCGAGAGGGGGAGGGAGACGGCCGTCCCATACCCCATCCTACCCCCGGGAGCTCCCACGCCCCGTCGCCAGCTCCCCAAAAGGATATCGCAGGGGGCGGCTGCCAAAGTTGAAGGCCACGGACTCCTTGAAGGAGAGGCTGATGGCTGGGAAGTAGGCCATGCCCAGGCCCCTGGACAGGTCCTCGAAGGCGGTGCCCAGCGACACTCCGTTCCTGGAGCAGAGCGTGGAGGGGCTGTAAACCAGGGCTGGGAAGGACGGGGCCAGGGTGGGCCAGCTGGGCTGGGGCTGCCCACTTTCCGGCTACCACACTCAGCCAGGCCTCGGGCAGGAGGGTGGAGACTGGTCTGTGCGCAAGGTGGGTGACTCACAGGCAGAAGGACAGCGTCCCTTCGTCCAGGTCAATCAGGCAGCTCACAATGTCCCCCGCAGCCCAGGCCTGCCCAGGAGAGGAGGTCTCACGGACGCAGAAGCCCAGCCGCCTATCCCCTTCCAGGGAGACGGGCCACTGGACAGAGGACCTGGGCGCCCACCCTATCACCAGGGGTCTAGGACCCCACACAGCGGCACAGCAGCTCCGAGCGGCGGGGCAGGGTTGGGGGTGGCGTTCATGGCAGGGCCTCACCTTGCCGTAGCTGGTTGTGGTCACGTTCCACTTGCGCACCCGGTTGCCATCGTAGGCATAGGAGTTGTGTGTATCTCCGACCCCCTCCTAGAGAGGAGCAGCCGTGAGGACCTGGCAGCCAGCTGCAGGGCAGAACCCACCAGCCACTAACCCTGCAGTGCCAGGCTTTGCCGAAGGGGGCTGGGGTGCCCTGGGGGGCGGGGAGGGGGAGCCTGAGCGCAGCCCCCTGCGGTGTGCACCTCCTGGTTGAAGCGGCAGCTGATGGTGCACCAACCGATCTGCATGAGCCCCTGGGAGGAGATGAGCACCTCGTAGACCCACTTTCCTGGAAGGAGCCGAGGCAGAGCTAGGAGCCCCTGGGCACAGAACCTGCCTCCCGCCCGGGCCCCTCCAGTACCCTTCCAGCTCCCCAGGCCACAGCAGAGCTGGCCTCACCTTTGTACACACACGTGGTAGATCGGATGGTTCCAAAGTTGCTGTGTCCAATCACCTGGGGGACAAGCAGGGAGGTGGGGACACAGAGCACACTACACCCCCCCACACACACAGACACCCCTCAGGTCTATCCCTGCTGGAGGCAGCCCTGGGGGTGTCTGCATGACATGGCCGATGCTGCATTTTGGCGGGAGGAAGGAGGACTTGGGGGAAGGCCAGGGCCATGAGAGAGGCGTGGGGCTGCAGCCACCTCAAAAAGGGATCGGGGCACTTGGGGCCCCTGAGTGATCTGTGGCTGCGGTCACCCAGGCGAGTGTGGTGACAGGGCCACATCAGCAGGACTTGGGGCTGTGCTAGAAAGGATGGGACCCTGGACCCTTCCTTACTCACCCCCAGGAGGTCATCATCAACCAGGAGAAGCCCCTCAAAGCCACCAGTGTGGTCCAGGACCACCGTGGAAGGGCCAAGCCGCCCTTCGTCTTTTCCTGGAAAGGGGAGAAGTTTGGAGTCAGGCAGGGGGAGGGTCTGGCAGAGTGCACAGGGCATGCTGCGCTCACCAGGCCAACCTCCAGCACCTCCCGGGCCATCACCCTCAGCCCCCACCCCCAGAGGCTGCATGTACCCTGGCCGTCCTCATCCTCACTGTCCACCTGTAACAGGTGGTCCAGATGCTCTGGCAGGTTCTGGAAGTTCAGGGGTTTTCTGGAGAGAGCAAGAGACTATGAGTGATACACAAGTCCTGGAAACCACCAGGTGACAGGATGCTACCCCCACCCATCGGATTTCGGGAGGTGGCTGCTGGGACTCCAGGAAAATGGCCGAGATGCAGGGGTTCAGGAAACTCAACTCCAACCAGTGCGCTCTGGGGCCCAAACCCAGTCCCCACCTGCACACTGGGCACAGGGTGTCTGTCAGTCCCTGCCTGCACACTGGGCACAGGG